GCAAAACAAAAACATAAATTCCCCCCCCCCCCCTCTAGCTCCTTATCTTTATTTAGAGAAACAAAAACTCTAGCTCTTTATTTAGAGAAACAAAAATAGATAATGGAACCAATAGACAATTCCCATTATAGACTAACCCTTCACCTTACCATAAAAAGTATATTCCCGGGAAGAGCATACTAAAATAAATAAAATTGCAAAGTTTGGTTGCAAAATGTTGAAAATATAGCTTTCCAAAGTTTGCAAATTTTGTATACTTTTGTATTGCAATTTTCGAATGCAAGACAAAAGTATACAAAATTTGCAAGGCTATATTTTCCATATTTTACAACATTTTGCAATAATTTACTTATTTTAGTACACTCTTTCTAGCTGTGGTGATTTATTTGCATCAAGGCCGGATTTTGAGGGGAGGTGCGCACCGCCCCTGAGATCGTTTTATCACCTCCCTTGAGAATTTTTGCACCTCTCCTGAAAGGTCATGCACCATTTTCACAAAGTGAAAATGTGATGGTTGCTTAGGATCTACACTTTGTGACCTTTTAATGCAATTGTTTCCACCTCCCCCACTATTTTCATCAAAATCCGGCCTTGATTTGCATCTCTTTGCCTAGTTCTAAAATTAGTCTATAATGGGAATTGTCTATTTACACGAACATAAGAGACTTTTTATTTGGCTTTCATTTATGAATATTAAAGACCTATAAACATGGTTATTTGTTAAGTTGTTTTGTGGTACATTTTTAAAACTACTGTTTTTTTCAAACTGGTAAATCTTTTCAAAGCCCCCCTCTTTCGTCTCTATCTATTTTTTCGAAGCCCCCCTTTCAGGTTTTAAAAAATTTAAGGTTATTGTTGCATGTTTCACACACAAATATAGGTTAGGGGTTAGGTATTAGGAGTTAGGTTTAAGATTAGGGTTATGGTGTGTATATATGTGTATGGAGATATCCAGTTAACTTTTCAGTACACTATAATATCCATTACATAACGTTTATTATATTGGTGCACGAAACATGGAACGATTACCAAATTTAAAGCCCCCCAGTTTCTCCTCAGTCCCCCCTGTACAATAAATAATGAGCAGTCCCTAAGTTTAGCTGAGCTCAAATTTCTCATGTTAAAGTGTGGTTTAGCCGTATGGGGGTTTCCCTTGATGCGCACTGGAGTTTTCCACACAAGGGGGTTTTCCCTTGCTCACTTGTTTTAGCCTTACACTGCGAGTTAACTTGGAGCAAGTCTATATATGGGCGAATAAAGTCGTCTTTAATATGTTACCTGCTGAGTAGCTCCTCCTTCCACAAGTAAAAGGGTGTTGACTCTTCGAAGTCTGCTCATTTCATGACATCTTCTGAACAATATAATGGTGTAAATCAAGGCCAAACCTGCCTGTTTCATTTCACTATTGTACTCTGCCTACATCATTGCAGACAGAACCTGGTGTACAAGTGGGCAAGAGGTTCTTATTTCATTGTTAATTTCGTCGAAACTAGTCGCTGTCAATCCATTATACCCTCTATCTCGCAACACAGAAGTTTCATCTCTTCTTGCGATATTTTTTAACTCATTGTTTATTTGAGTACATAAATCTTCTGGTGAATTAATACACAAATTGGCCTGAAAATAAAGCGATATACGTTTCAGTTACATGGGTTACATAATTCATAATCAATCAGTTTTAGTCACAAACCCCTACTAGCCAAAACCAATAAGAAACGCCCATGAAATCTGCAAGTTGATCAAAACTTGCGAGGACTAACTATTTTGCGTTAATTTTGACTCTAACATGTCTAAAATAAGCTATTGTTATTTGTGATAAGTAAAAACTTGTCGATTCGTGGGCGTTTTTTCTCGGTTTTGGCTAGTATGACTGTTTGTAGTGTTGATTCAAACGATTTTAATTGATCTGGGATTAAAGCCAACAAGGCCTTTGAATGTGCATTTCGTCTTTAAGTACGAAGTTTTTAGGCGCAATTGTACTTGTATAAAGATGTATTAAAGTCTATAAAGTAACAAAACAAAGAAAAAAATACAGAATATGTGTGGTCAAGTAATTACATGGACCTACAGCATTGAATTTAATTGATAGCCTATAGACAGTTTCAATGCGGCAAAATGCTAATACAAATAAGACAAAAGATGAATGTGACAAAAACAACAAGTTAATAACAATGCTTCTAACTCTTCTAAGCAGATTGGAATGTTCTAATTAAAAGTGTCACAGTTTAATGTTAATATAGTTTTAAGAAGCCAAAAATGTAGCAATTCGAAAAACAAAAAACATACGATTTGTAAGAATGACATGTTCTATGTTTATGGGAAATTTTGTATAAACAGGTTGAAAATGAAAGAAATTGAAGCATGTTAGCGCTTTGGCATGCATTTTTGTCAGGCGTGGTAGGTTGGTGCACATGATAATACGTATTTTAATATGAATATTCATACAAATTGAGGATTTACTTACCTTCCAATATTCAAACTTGGTGGCAAATTTGCTCGACGAGCCCGCTTATAAATGCATAATCTTCTAGAAAACCTTCAGTGAATTAACGCAGGCGAGCCCTAAATTGATCCTTGCATTCCTATGATATCCAATGACATTTATGCAATTTCTACACAATTTATGCGAAGGCAGCGACAACAAGTGATTACGATGCTATAGATTGCAATGTGAATGAATAAGACGAGTTAAAAATGTGAATTCAACAAAAATATGCAAAAGGAGAAACTGTCAATTAATTTTTATAAAACTGAAACTGGGACAATTTTATTTCTACCGGGACAAAAGAGTTTAAACAGGGACTGTCCCAGTGAAACCGTGACAGTTGGAATGTTTAGTGCTCTGCTAAAATTGCATTTCCAGCATTTTGGATGGCACTTTGGATGGTGATAAAATTGTGATATAATATATTTATATTTTGCTCAAGATGCATGAAATGTTGTTTCACAAACTCAGGGACTGATTACATGGAGAGCAGGTACGTGCTGTAACTAGACAATAATTGTGGGGGGAGGGGATTCATATTCATATATTCATGTTCACATATTGTAAAAAACAAGCTTTCAAAAGAAATATGTTGGGCAGAACACAAATATATGAATATGCAAAAATGATTGCTCTAGTTACATCCCTTGATGGAGAGTTTTCAGCCCAGGCTGAGTTTGCACGCTGAAATTTCAGCCTGGTCTAAGGAGAAAATCGTTATATTAAAACACAGCTACAATCCTGGCAAAAATTATGTGGACACCTAACTTTTCCAACGCCAAAATCAACATTGAGACGTTCTTTCATCAAACTTGTCACCCCCTGCCCCCTATTCAATGTTGTTTCTCGCATTTAAATTTTAAAGTTTCATTTACCAACATTGAGTTGGGGGTAGGAGGGGGAGAAATTTTCTGGGGATTAATTCTGTAGAAATACATCTATTTTTGTTTGACGCACACGGTGTCCACAATCATTTTTGCCAGGATTGTCTGAAATTATCACATATTTCAAACCGTGCGATTTCATGAATTTAAGGCTTGATCCAATGATAAAATAGGCTTGTTTGTTTAGCAAAAGGAGCAAACAATTAGTAAATCAGGTTATATTTAGTTTTTTTTACTTTCCAATCTATGTTAAGTGTCGCGTATCACATCACATGTCAAGTGGCTTTTTACGTATTATCACAGTTAATTGAAGGGGATGGTTAGGCTAGCTCGTGACGTCACGGAATATGTTGCGGCCACTTGTAATTTAGTCACGTGCACAATAAGGTGCATCCGGTTTAAAGACGCTGAAAGCTCGAATTACAAATTATAAACACATACTGTATCACTAACTTCGTCGTGAAGACAAAAGCATTGTGCGTGGTCTGGCGAATTTATTTATTTGGTTTAAAGTTTTTGAAGGATATGCCTGGCGCAAATTGCGCTTTTTATGGTTGTTCGACGAGCAGAAGCCACAAACTTTCGCTGTTCAAAATCCCAACAATTGGCGCGGCAGATACTGATTACACAAAGTCTGTGAAGAGAAAAACCCGTGAAGAATGGCTTCGTTTAATACAAAGAACGAGAGTTTTGACGCCAGAATTAAAAGCCAGAATAGAGGCGAATAACATTTACATCTGTGAGCTACATTTTAAGGCAGAATGTATATTAGACGGTAAGTTTTTGCCACATCTGTACGTATCTTCACTTTAAAATATTCATCAACCAGGATTTAGCATACAAGGCGTTGTTAATTCAGCATATCTGAAAATTTGCATATTATATAGGAAAACGAAAGACATTGGTGGCTGGGAGTATTCCTACTGAGAATCTACCTCAAAAAAAGTACGACGCTCCCAAACAAGAACGTCGTGTTCTTGAAAGAAAGCAACTCGAGGTTCCAAAGACGCCGCCATTACTCGATATTAACACCTTTACTGAACAGTTGCAGCGAAAGGAAATCGAACCGTGGAAAATTGTGAAGTCAAACAACGATGAAGTGCGACTGGAATATTATGACGATGTTCACAGTATTCCAAAGTATACAGTTATTGTAAATTCGGCGCTGGAATTCAGTGTATTTGTCTTCAACTGGTTGGTACCTGACCAGAACTTTGTATACGTGGAAAACAAGCGTTCGGTCATACATGTGGATATTGTAGGGCTTTTAAAGTATATTGAAAGTTCCAAACTTTGTGAAGGCTTGGAAGAAGATACTGATGTTAAGTCTGTTGCTGTTGACCCCACTGAAAAACCAAACCCAACAATTCAAACCTTGATTGTCCGGCATTCTGTTCCTAAAGTTATTGATCCTGAAGAACCACATTTTCAAGTGTCCATTCGATACCGCTCAGTTGGTTGTGACACTCTCACTAGCAGTGAACACTCGAATAGTTCATGTAAACCTTGTGAATCTGCCCTGAAGAAGATGA